GAGGAAGGAAGACGTCCTGAAAATCGTGGGGCCCTGCGTGGTGTGTAGCTGCTGCTCAGACATCGACTTCGAGGTGAGGAACTGGGGGGAAGGGGAGGCAGAGGGAGGATGGGGGAGGGCGGGGAGGAGGCGGTGCCGGGCTCAGACTCCTCAGTGTGGCAGAGGGGTGTGCCCTGCGAGTGTGTTACACACGCAGGACACGAGGACTCGGGGCGCAGAGACCTCACAGCGCGAGTGTGCTCGCGTTCCTAACTTCCTGCGTGGTGAGCGTCACTAGTAACACGGTGTTGGCTAGAAAAAAGTAGGAAAAAAGAAAAAGCAGTATTCAAGAATCAGTAAGTCCTAAGCGAAAGCAACAAGTAATAATAGACAAGTAAACATAATCATCTGAAACGAATATTTTATCATTTTAGTACTTATTACTTCATTATTTATTTTATAGGATGATATGCTATGTATAACTAATAGATACCATAGAATATGGTATCTATAGAATATTAGAATAGAATAATAGAATAATCAATAATGCATAATATATGATATTCTAGAATAATGATGCGTGGTATAAGTATAATAAGAAATAGGAATAATGTTATTGAGCAGCAGCAGTGCTAGACAAAAACAAGCAAAGACACAGCATGAACATGTCCCCCTGATTTCCTGGTATGGAGTCTTATTAAAACAGAACTTTCACCCGGTCATCTAAATCTGGTGCTTTGGGTGCCTGTAAGCTCCATGCCCCGTATAGAAATTCAGCTCCCACTGGAAGCCCAATAAACATTAAAAGCTTTAATGGGGTTCATGCCCAATTCTCCTTCCTTCCCTGCATTTTCCATGCCCCCCCGACCCCCTCCACAAAGAAAGAACACAGGAGCAGCCTACACTGCGACCTTCTCAAAGAAGAACTCTACTCCAAGTTCATTTGTTGTTTTTCTAATGACTTGCAAACGTTTCACTGGAGAGAAATTCACATTTGCATCCCGTTTGGTGAAAATCCGGTCTGGGATCAAGTCAAGTAACTGATTACTCCCTGCTGTCTCAGTACATCATGGAAAACGCAAGATATTTCGGAACTATACGTTGCCCACCATGGATCTGTGCTTTGTTTTTTCCCGGTATCTGTGCATAGATATAGAAAACATAAACATATCTATGAATTGCAGATCTTCATATAGAAATAATGATGATACGGTATTTGTTTTATCATACTGCAAGTCTGAAGGTGGCTTTTCCATAGAGTCTCGAGCCATCTCTGAGACCTTGTTTTCTTCACTGTAGATTAAATCTCTTGACGAAGAAGTTATCGTTGGCAAGATCTCCAAGCACTGGTCGGGGTTCGTGAGAGAGGCGTTTACAGACGCCGACAATTTCGGGATTCAGTTCCCCTTAGACCTTGATGTGAAGATGAAGGCTGTGATGCTGGGTGCCTGCTTCCTCATCGTGAGTCTCTTCTAGATTCCCGTTCCCTCGTTGTAGAGCCGCTCTAGATTCCTGCTTCCTCTTAGTCTCTTCTAGATTCTGTTCTAGATTCCTGGTTCTTTATATATCTCTTCTGGATTCCTATTTCCTTGTTTAAGATCTGTTCTTGATCCCTGATTCCTTATATATGTCTTCTAGATTCCTGTTTCCTCATCACAAATCTGCTCTAGATTCTTGTTTATCATAAATCTGTTCTGGATCCGCGTTTCTGCATTGTAAGCCTGTTTTAGAATCCCATTCGTTGTTGTACATCTGTTCTAAATGCCTCTTTCTTGTTGTCTGTTCTAGATTACTGTTCCTCCTCTAAAGACTGTTCTACAATTCCCATTATCTTTTGTGCTGGTCCTTAGGCTTGAACTCTGGGCCTGGACGCTGACCCTGAGACTCTTTTTCTCAAGGCTCTACCACTTGAGCCACTGCACCACTCCATCTTTTTCTGGGTACTTTATTGGAGATATGAGTCTCACAGATGTTCCTTCCCAGGCTGGCTTTGATCTATGATCCTCAGGTCTCAGCTTCCTGAGTAGCTAGGATTAGAGGCCCGAACTATCGACACCCCAGCCTTATTCTAGATCCCTATTTCTTAAGTCTGTTTTAGACTTCTGCTTTGTTGTGGGTCTGTTCTAGATCCCTATTCTGGATCCCTCATTGTCTGTTCTCGGTGCTATTTCACTGAAAGTCTGTTCTTGCTCTTCTGGGTCATAAATGGTCTCTCTAGCATCATTCTCAGATGAAATCTGAAAATTGTGTATTCCCACATAACCTTTTCTTTAAAAAAAAATGAATAAGTTCTAAGCAAGGATTGCCTAGCTGTGGAACCCACTCGACCCCCGCACTCCGGGTAGACAGCTGACAAGTTTCTCCCTGGAGAATTTCATCTCTTGCAGGAAACAGAATGTGGGCTTGAGGTATCATGCAGAGGTCTTTGTCTTGGAACTTTTTTTTAATTATTAAAAATACCAAACCAGTGCTAAGGGAACACGTGGGAAGCTTTTGGTCTTCACCCAAAGTTTAGGACACTAAAACAAAAACAAAAAACAAAACCCACCCTGTAGCTCATTACATGGCTTAATATGAGGCGTTGTAAATCAATCAGAATGTTCAATAGATCATTCTGGGGGAGGGTGGGGGAGGGGTGGGGGAGGGGGAACCACACGGCCGTTGGTCACAAGTGATCAGAAAGCGAGGGACAAAGGACAATGCTAGACACAGAGGAAATGCAATTCATGGGGCTTCCTCACAGGAAGAAGAGGCAAGATAGTTCATGCTAGAGGAAGCAGAGGCTGAGGAGCCAGGGCCAGAGTGTAGAGAGCTCACACTGATCCAGGCCTTGCGTGTCTTACTTTGTTATTGAGACTTCATTGCGGCCATGTTTGTCTTTCTCTAGGATTTCATGTTTTTTGAACACACGGGAGACAAGCAGCAAAGAGTAGGAGTATGGTAGCCAAGCAGTGACGTCCTCCCCGCCCCAGACCATCTGAGGATTTCCCACTGACCCGACTTTCTAACACAAGGACACGATGCTTCTCTCTTCTTTTCTTGACATTCCTCCTGCGTGCACCAGGTAAACCGCGAGGCCCGTGGCTCCCGCTCTGCGGTCCCGCCGACCCGGGCACGCGGATTTCCCGTGGCGCTCGCTTGCGTATGTCTGTACACTTCATTGTTGTTTTTACGATCTACTGTGAATCTGGGCGAAAGGCCATAGAAGTTTTTACACTGAGAAATAAAACTTCCAAAGAGACAAACTGCTTTGAATGGTAACCTGCGACCTATTTTTCAATTTTATCACAAAACTAAAGCCTTCCTAAATTGCGCTACTAACTCGAGTGACGGTTTATCTCATGGAATGTGTGAAGTGGAGCCTGGGTGGAGGAGGAGCTGCCAGACGCTGGGTTCTGTTTTCACCAACATGGATGGATCGATATGTACTAGACATAGCTAATGTATTATGTTAGGTATTAGATACACATATTAATATATTATAAATTATATATAGACACATATCTAATATATCTAATATATGTTATATAGATAGAAATTGATATATTATTTATACTATTATACTATATAGATTCTCATCTATATAGATGAGAATCTATATAGTATAATAGTATAAATAGTAATATAATATACTATAGGATATTATATACTATATATACTATAGTATAAATAATACTATAGTATAGTATTTTTATCTATTATACTATAGATATAGATATTTATACTGCTATACTATAGATATAGATAAATATGTTACATGTAATATATAATATATCTAATATTTATTATATACAATATACATGTATAATTATAATTATACATATTATAATATAACATATTTATATCATAATGTATAATTATAATTGTACATATTATATATTATATATCATATATTATGTATTATATTATGTATTATACTATGTATTATATTACATATAATAATAAGAAATATCTATAAATATATATAAATATAAATATAGCAAATACCTTATTATATTTTTATAGTATAATTATATATGTATATTGCATATGTGATGATATATTAGTATATATTTTAAATACATATCTATATTAGACACATAGATATAGATATTAGATATATCAGATATTAGATATTTTAGATTGGATACATATTATATAGTATATATAAATATATAATTTATAGTTATATAATATATTATATAACATATAATACTAGATATAGTAAATATTATATATTATACATATGACCTACATAGCTAATCTATCTCTATCTATCGCTATCTATACATAGACCAACAGGTCTATTGCAGAATAACACTGCAAGGAAATTGTGACCATAGCACAGTGAAAGGCAAGTGTAAAAGGAGAGCAGACATGGCATGAAGAATGAGGTGCAGCAAAGATTCTTATAGGGCTGAGGGCTCCAGGTTCACTTCTAGACCCAGTTACTGAAGGAAGAACTCGGGGTACTTTGGTTTGGGTGGCAGTCATGGTTTTTGTGGGGTTAAATGGCGCCAGCTGCCTATAGACAATGTTGGCATTGCCAACGGGAGACCAACACAGCTTAAGATGCGATCGTGGGCAGCCAGTTTGGGCTTCAGGCTCTCAGAACGAAGCTAAGCAAATGCGTCATAGGTTGAACAGTACTACAAGTGGAAGCACAGAGCTAACCCCACTCTCTTCATCTGACACCAGAGACAGAGAAGTCACGTCAGCCTTTGCTTCCAGTTCTCCAAGCTCCTAAAACATCTGCTTAAAACCAAAGAAAGGCCAACATGAGGATTAAAAAGCCCAGGCTGACGTATTATCCCATCAGAAATCATAGATCTTGTTCTGTAAGATTCTCTAAAATTATCCACATGTTATTTCTCCAGAAGAAAACTGGATTTTTCCCTACAACAGTGTTGGAAATAGTGGGTCGCCACACACATCGCATCGTCAGTATCTTTACATTAATGTAGCTGCTCGGACAGAGAGAGAAAGATCCGGTAAGGAGAAGAACGTAGTTCAAGGCTAAGGGCCAAGCCATTGTGAGAGGCATGAAATTCCACTGCCGGCCTGTAATTTCCTTAGTGAACAATGGTGAGGCTAAAAGAATCGGGGTTCCACTTCCAATTACACACACACACACACACACACACACACAGAAGTGGAGCTGTGGTTCTAGAGTGCTAGCATGGAGCCAAAGCAGCTCAGGGACAGTGAGTTCAGCCCAGGCCGTGAGTTCAAGCCCCAGGACTGGCAAAGATTTAAAAAAAAAAAATCACAACACATGTGGAAAAATGCTCAAGAACCAATACTTCCCTGGACATTATTAACAAATAATAGTATCAGATGCTGGTGGGGATGTGTCCAAAAGGGAGCACTAGTACCCGGTGGGTGGGAGTGTGAACAGCTCCAAGCACTCTGGGAAGCACAGTGGAGAGTCCTCTAGAGACCACACCCAGGACTCCGCTGTGGCCCAGCAATCCCACTCCTGGGCATTCACCCCAGCGATCGCAAACAAGGCACCACGCAGCCACCTGCCCCCCCGGCCCCCGCCCCTGCCCCCGGCCCCTCTTCTTGACCCCTGGCCGGTCCCCCTCTTCAGTCCAGGCTGTTCTGAGTGTGTTCCCGCCGGGAGGCTCCCGCCCCGCTGCCCCTCCGAGCAATGGCCTTTCCTTTCTCCCAACCCATGCGGGGTTCGCCATCCTCATCCACCCGTCACCAGGCCTTTGAGGGGGAGACGGTGATAAACCTGGTCCCCCAAACCTGGGCACAATAGACACCCATCCCGTGGAGGGAAACACGGCCTTCATCTCCCAGCTCCTTGTGCGTTCTGATCGCATTCCTTGTGGGTTTGATTGGCAGGGTTGCACCCGGAGTGGTAGAGCCATGGCAACCAGAGAACCGCCTCTGCTCCGTCCCTCCTGCTCACAGTGGGTGGGGGGGGGGGGGCTGGGTCAGGGCCCGGGCCAGCCGGACAAGGCCCAGGCCAGCCGCACAAGGCCCAGGCCAGCAGGACAAGGTCCAGGCCAGCAGGACAAGGCCCAGGCCAGCAAGACAGGGTCCCGGCCAGCAAGACAAGGCCTGAGCCAGCCGGACAAGGCCCAGGAGAGCAGGACAAGACCCGAGTGAGCACCCCAGCTTGTGCATGGCACACAGGGGAGCTAGCTCCCCACAGCACCCACACCGCCTTCCGAGTTCCAAATGGAATGTTTACGGGGCGGCTGCCTGGGTGGACCCGGCCCTGCGACCCATCCCATTCGGAGCTTTCCAGGAGCGCTCCTGTGTGAGCCAAGGCAGACAGCCAGGCTCTTCCGAGGGGCCCAACGAGGTACCCACCCTACCCACCCCATCCACACCACAGCTTCCAGAACGGGCCCCAGGCCCCCGGGCGGGGCCCGCTGCCCCCACCACCACCACCACCACCACACCGCAGCCACGCGACGCTTCCCGGCTCACGCTGAGAACCTGCAGAGACGGAGCGAAGAAGACCCAGGAGATGGATCCACGCGTGCGGAAGGGACACAGCCTCGCTGGCAGACACTTGAGTTCCACCGTGAATACGCATTACAACGCAGAAACCTTGTCTTTCTCTCCCGCAGGGTCTCGATGCCCAGCCCCGGATTACACGCGCTCTGTTGAAATTTGTTCTGAGGTGCGAGCGGGAGTCGATCCAGACAATAAAGGCGCTTGGCTTGGGTGATGGCGTCCGTGTGTGTACAGGCGCTGTGAGGATCATCCTGTGAACGCTACGCTGGACGCAGGCTTGTAGACTTTCCTTCTTTTCTCTCGTAAGTCTAGTGGGGTGATCTGAGGACAGTGCACGGGGCCGTGGACACGTAGGGTCAGGGACAGCGTCCTGATCTGCGCTGAGGTTCCTCGGATCCCCACAAGTCATATTTTCACATATTTTTGCAACCAGGTCTTTGTCTGGGACAAAACGTGACGAGGCCCCGTCTTTGGTCCCATCCTGGGGCTTGAACTCAGGGTCTGGGCGCTGTCCCTGAGCTCTTCCTTTGCTCAAGGCTAGTGCTTGGCCGTTTTGAGCCACAGCTCCACTTCCAATTCATTGGAGATAAGAGTCTCACGGACTCTTCTACCTGGACTGGCTTTGAACCTCAGATCTCAGCCTCCTGAGTAGCTAGGATGACAGGCGTGAGCTGCCAGTGCCCACCACCATATCTATTTTCTTTTAAGAAGATGGGTGGGCAATGGGGGAGCCATGCTCACCTACTCTGCCCCCCAAATTCTTCAACAGTGGGAATTTTATTAAAACAAATGGCGACCACACAGGAGCCATGTATAAAGGTGGCACTCAACCAGACGTACATGTTAGAACACACGTGCGCGCACATTTCTACTGAAACACTTAGAAAAAGATAAAGCCACCGGGCGCTGGTGGCTCACGCCTGTCATCCTAGCTACTCAGGAGGCTGAGATCTGAGGATCGCGGTTCAAAGCCAGCCCGGGCAGGAAAGACCGTGAGACTCCTATCTCCAATAAACCACCAGAAAACCGAAAGTGGCGCTGTAGCTCAAGTGGTAGAGCGCTCGCCTCGAGCTGAAGAGCTGAGGGACAGCGCCCCGGCCCAGAGTTCAAGCCCCACGACCGACAAAAAAAAAAAAAAGATAAAGCCGGGATTTTATAGAAGTACCTCCGAAAGAAAACAAAAAACCCTGACGCTGAGGCTGAGCCCAGAGTCTATGATGTAGAGTGATGTAGAGTTTCACAGACGAGTTAAAATTGGAAGCTACACTGCTCCATCCAGTCCATCTGTCTCTCTTTAGCGCGGTGGCAAAAATCAAGATTATGTATGAAATTCACAATATACAACAGACAGTGCAAAGGAAGAGTCTGCTGGGAACCATAGCCAACAGTCTTCCAGGACTGGAATGTCTGGCCGAGGTAGTGTCATTAATTCATTTCTTCATTTAGTTGATTCAGGACCGCATACATTTAACCCACTTTTCTTTTGCTCCAATGTAAGTCATAGTTTGGGCTAGAGAGGCTAGCTTTCCGACAAAACTCTTGGTATTTTCTTTGGGTTTAAATGTTCATTCTTTTTAAAGTAATTTTTATTATCTTTAAGTACCGGTGCAAAGGAGTTATCATTCACCAAAGCAGTGTAGGAATACTGCGGAGAGAGTAAGCTTGAATTTCTAATAGTGTAATAGTGTTGTACGCAAACATTATTCCAGAGGAAGCCAGTTCCACCAGCAAATCCTAATTTTATTTTTTTTTATTATTATTCTTTTCTGTAATCCTGGAACTTGAACTCAGGGCCCAGCACCTGCTCAGATGGTACTCTACCCTTAGAGCCACACCACCTGCCCAGGTTTTTCTGATTGTACTGGATTTTTCTACCCGGGCTGACTTAGAGCTGTCATCCTCTGAATCTCAGAATTACAGTGTGACTCACTGGTACACTCAGAATTGCATCGTTTTCAAGACAGGGAAGTGGGTTTTGCAAGTGTAACTTTAAGTCCGCGTTTCTTTTCAAGTAATAACCCACAGGTGAAATATTAGGGAAAGTGGCTTTTCTTCCGTGCAGAACTGCATGGCACAGATCGAATCCCCGAGATTCTGTCTCTGAGTAATCAATGGGGACAATTCAGATGCTTGCACTAACCACAGGCCGCGTGCTATTTTGTAATGTGCAAAAGATACTGTGTCCCTTCTTTTTGAAAAGATGGTTTCCATTTTCCATGTTTAAATATGGATTTTTGCCACAAGTGATCATTAACTAGAACTCCAAAGGTGTTTAGAACTAGAGGGGAAATGATCTTTAAACTTGGACTTCAAGTGACAAGAGTTATTTCTGTCTAATATAATTTAACTAAAACACCGACGAATAACTTTCGTGACAACACACAGTACAGTAAGAGAGAGAAAAAAATGTTTTCGTTTGCTTGTCTCTATGATTAAAAAAAATAAATGTTAAACTCCAGTGACTACGCTGTGAGCGCAAGAGAGAGAGATGCCAGAAGCCTTGTCTGGGGTAAATGATGTAGGATGTGTATTTCAGAAAAAATAAAGAAAGCCGGGCACTAATGGCTCACACCTGTCATCCCAGCTACTCAGGAGGCTGAGATCTGAAGATCATGGTTTGAAGCCAGCCCGGGCAGGAAAGTCTGTGAGACTCTTATCTGCAACCAACTTCAAGTTCCAATTAATCCATCCATTACGGATCACCAAAAACAAATAGCCGCCTTTGTTAATAGCCCATGTGCTAACCTGTGCTATAAAACTTGGGGCTTTAGTATCATCTTCCTTTTAATTCAATGAATCGATCGTTCGGTAGATGGTAGTTTTCCTTCCGTTATGTAAATACCGTGGTAGAATCTGAGATTTGCCTCTGCTTTGGAAACAAGAAATGATTTGCTTGTGTGGGTGTGCAACTTAAGTTTGGTCTGCCCGCTTTGCACTTCTTTACTTTGTCCTCTGCTAGATCAACCAGCTGGAGGTGTGCCGGCGTTTCGACGTGGATGGTATGTACACAAAACCCCCACCCTGGAAGATGTGAAGGGGTCCCCGCAGGTATAAATCTACATAGAAAGAGCTCAAGCTGGGCGTGGGTGGCTCACGCCTGTCATCCTAGCTACTCAGGAGGCTGAGATCTGAGGATCATGATTCAAAGCTAGCCCGGGCAGGAAAGTCCATGAGACTCTGATCTCCAATAAACCACCAGAAAACCAGAAGTGGCACAGTGTTCTCAAGTGGTAGAGCGCTCACCTTGAGTTGAAGAGCTGAGGGACAGCGCCCAGGCCCAGAGTTCAAGCCCCACGACCGACACACACACAGAAAGAGTTTGATAGGAATTGACATATCCATTTCATGTTTGAAAAACTCTCCCCCTCCCTCGCCGCTCCCCTCCCATGTGAGATGAGGCCATGCGGAGAGAGACACCGGTGGGTGGCGCGTTGCTCGTTTAAACCCCCGGAGTTTAGATTCCGCCTCTGGGGGTGACTGGGTACAATCTGAAGCTGTCCATTGCAGGCGCCGCTGACCCCCCCTCCTTTTGCCGCCCAGTCCTGTGTCACCCAGAAATCCACAAGACCTATGACATCCTGAACAGCCAAGGCCACAGGATGTACTTCGCAGAGGAAAGGAGCAGCTGGCTGCTGCGGTACCTGTGCGGCTCCTCGCGGGCCTTCACCGTGAGCATCTACGACAACGTGGGCCAGGAGGTGATCACCGCACACAAAGCGCTCAGATGCCACAGCTGCTTCCTGCAGAAGGTCAGCTCAGCGCCGTGGCCGCACCGGCCAGGCTCCCACGCAGACCACGCCGCGGTCCCCAAGGCACGGGTCTCGAGGCGAACCCCCCACCCCCACCGCCCCGTCCGAAGCTAGTCTTGGAAAATCAACCTTGGCTGGTAAAGCCCCATTCTTGGGGCTTGAAACTCAGGACCCGGGCGCGGTCCCTGGGCTTTTTCATTCAAGGTTGGCACCCTACCCGCTGGAGCCACCGCTCACTGCCGGGTTTTGTTTTGGAGGTTCCCTGGAGGTAAGAATCTCCCTGACTTTCCTACCCGGGCTGGCTTTGAACCATGGTCCTCAGATCTCAGCTTCTTTGAGTGACTAGGATGATAGCTCCCAGCTTCCTGACTGATTTCATACTATTGCCTTAGGGTGGTACGTGTTTACACGTGCATCTATGTGTGTGTGTGTGTGTGTGTGTGTATATGTGTATATATATGTGCATATATATAGATGTGCATATATATATATATGCACACACAGACACCACACAAACACACTAAGTTACTCCTGAATCCAGCAGCTTACAATTCCAATATCCGATAGCTCACGCCAGGAAAAAAAAAAAATCAAATGACAGCCTGGCTTGTCCGAGTGGACATGAGTCTGTGGAGAAGGAATCTGCCGGAATGTGGCCACCTTGGTGTGCAGCGGTGGACAGAAAACCCTCTTCCAAGAAAGATTCCTCCAGCACTTAGCCTGAAGCGGAAGCGGCCCTGGCACAGGTATGTTAGTGTCTGAGGCCTGGTTTTCTTCCTGCTTCCGTTTCCTGCAGCTCACGGTGGAGGCCCCGCCGGGCGAGAGCATCGGCTATGTCTGTCAGTGTTTCCAGCCTCTGTGGCCCAAATTTAAAATTAAAAACCAGGATAAAGAAGAGGTCATGAAAATCAAAGGGCCGTGCCGTGTCTCCAGCTGCCTGAGAGACATCCAGTTCAACGTGAGTGGTTCGCCACGCCTTCGCGCCGTCCCAGGGAAACCAGACAGGAATCGCTCGCTTACTAGAGCAACATGTCCTTTGGAAACCACCCTTAGGTGCTGTCCCCGGATGAGGAGACGGTCCTGGGGAGCATTTCCCAGCGCGGTCCTGGTTGTGTGACACGCGGCCACAAATTCAGAGTCCAGCTGCCCTTCGACCTGGATGCGAAAAGCAAAGCCACCGTGCTGGCCGCCAGCTTCCTCATGGTGAGTCTCTCTGGTGGCTGAAAACCACATCAAACATCTCCCCTTCCCATCCACCCTTTGCACCCAAGGTTGACATTTTCCCCTCCGGTCCTGGTTGCCAGTTGTGCCCTTTTTCCACGCCCCCTCCAGCCTGGCATAGGTTCATTCTTTCTACACCAAAGCCAGCAAAAGCCACAGAGCAATCTGCAGAGATTGAAATTTTAGCGACATAAACCCTCCGAGTATTTTATCCTGAATCACCAACAGCACCCTACGAACCTGTTATACAGTTGGTGACGTGTGTTTAGAAGGAATTGGAAACAAAACACTAATGGTAGATTTTTTTTGGTCTCTTTTGTCCATTTTCTACACAAAGGTGCAAATGAAAATACCTGTGTGAATTTTTTGCTTGCTGGATGGTTCTCTAACGACCTTTAACCTCCATTTTGGCATTCTGAGAGTCACAAAAATCTCCTTTCCTATTTCCTTCAGGGTTTGATCTTTAGGAGGCATGTCTTATAATCATAGCATAGAGTGCCAGACATTAAAAGGCCTTTCACACCTAATACATGTCACTGTCTCCACTACCGAAGCCCTGAATCTCACCTACTTCTGCTTTTCTCTAGGATTATATGTATTTTGAATTCTGCCCCTAAGAATGAGTGTCAAAAAGAAAAAAAAAAAAAAAAGATATGCCAAAGATGAGCGGCCTTGAGTTTGGCCAGCCTTCAGCAAAATGTAAAAACAAAAACAACACACACACATGCACAACTTTTCCACCCAAACTATTTAAATGGAGTCTCATCTCACTACAAAGACCTCTGTGTGGTTTTTTTTTTCCTGTTTCTTGTAAATATACCAAAGCATGTTTAGTTACTGAAATAAAGTCCTGAGTTCCAGGTCCTGCTCATCATTCTCTTAACAATGGCCTGTGGTCAGTTCACACACTGGTGGGCGTGGGGGGCCAGGGAGGATTGTTCCCCAAAAGTTCATCCGCTTATCTGGATTGGGCAAAAGGGACAGCAAGGCCACAGCAGACCCCCGTCACCATTTAGAACATGGAACAAAGCTCCCACAAGAGGGAGCGAGGAACAAGTCCAGAAGCTCACGTGAAGACACAGCCTGGCCTCCTCGGCAGAAGAGCTGGACATGGAATCCATCTCTTCATGCTGACACGTGTGTGTTGCACATGGATTTACACATGCGTGTGCACGGTTTGGGGCAGCAGTGAGGTTTGCGTGCAGGCCTTTTCTCGCGCTCGACCAGCACTCTACCATTGAAACCACACCAGCCCCTTTTCATTGCAGGATTTTTTTTCAGTGAGGGTCTTTTGCTTTCTCCCTGAGCAAGCCTTGGGTCACAATCCTTCCTACCTCTGTCTCTGATATAGCTGGGATCGCAGGCTTGAGGAGATCTATTGGCTTTGAAATCTGTCCAGTGCACTTCTAGATCTGAGGTCCAGTACATATTAACTCCTGGCGAATGAGTGAAGACATGTTCTACTTACTGTCTGTGGTGTGAGTGTGCATGTGTGTGTGTGTGTGTGTGTGTGTGTGTGTGTGTGATGTGTGCTGGTACTGGGGTTTGAACTCAGGGCCTGGGTACTCTATGCTTTCTCTCTCCAGGCTTATTTAGCGCTCTACCACTTGAGCCACGCCTCCACTTTCAGCTTTTTGGTGGTGTAATTGAAGATCAGAGTCTCATGGCCTTAAATCACCTCCCGAGTAGCTTGTACTACACGCATGAGCTACCAGGGCCCAGCTAATCACAAGCAGGATCCCATGGGGAGGTGTGGAGGGGGGAGATACTTCCGGGGAAGTCTTCCTTTCACACCGTACCCAAACTCACGCGCCCCACCGGCTCTGCCAGGGGCGAGAGAGTTCCCTGCCCACCCCGGAACCGGCTGGTGGTGGAGAAGAGGAGGAAGGCCGTGTCAGGGCAGCTGCAAGTCATCCTAAGTCGGGTGCTCTGCCCACGAGCACCACACGCCTTGAGATTTTCCGCCTCACCACCGCGATCCACAAATGTTCTGTTTGCTCTCAGAGCCAGAGAACAGGGACAGCAGCCCTGCCCCCTCCTCCCCACGCCCTCCCTGCCTCCCCTCCGCCTCTTCCAGGTCACACCGGCCGCCTGGGATCCTGGGAAGAAGGAATCACAACCCCTGGGCCTTTGCCCGACCCAGGCTGCAGCCAGGCCCCATTCGCAGGCCAAGGCCTGGGCTGGAAGCAGCTGCAGGATACTTGCTGCACAGAGCGTCCCTTTCTGTTCCAGTTCTGCCCGCAAGCAGCAATTCTCCACTGGCAGAGCTCTGGAGAGGCTCCGGGGCCTCTGATTAAAGAGGCCACCGACTACGGCTGGATCTGACTCGTGTTTCGGTCTCCTCTCCCAGCCGTTCGCCATCCTGGGTTCCACGCCACGGGGTCCCGGGGCTGCAAAGTCCTCTGACTCCATCCAAGGATGAAGAAGTGGAAGTGGAGGAGATGTACGTCCGCTTTAACAAAAGGCAAAGTGAACGCAGAGCAAATGTGCACTTTGGGGAGGAGAGGGGGCCGACTGGGGAGGGAGGGCGGTCTCCCACGCAGGACCCAGGACAGACAGCCAAGGCCTGCCCTGGACAGCTGCCACCCTGGCCTGCCTGGTGGAGCCAGGGACTTGTCACTCACAGGGCTTGTCTTCCTGACTTACAGAACCATGGGGCGGCACTAAGGGCTTGCTGGAAGGTGGGTGGCCACACCCACGCAGGTCAGGCCTCCATCCCATTGGTGGACACACCTGTGCCATCATCCCATTGGTGGACACACCTGTGCCATCATCCCATTGGTGGACACTCATGCCTCCATCCCATTGGTGGATGTACTTGTATCATCATCCATTGTTGCTATGATCCCATTGGTGGATGTACTTGTATCATCATCCAATGGTGCCATCATCCCCCTGATAGACGCGCCCTGCAGAGAGTGCTGATCCTCTCAATCACCTGGGCCACCGCTAACGGTCCAGAGGTGGTCATTCCTCCCTGGCAAGCCAGTGTTCCTGGCAGGCTGTATGTCTGTCTTGTCTGTCTGTCGAGGATGATAAACAAGCCTGCGTTCTCTGCTGAGATATGTAGCCAGCTGCGTCTGTGACTCAGGAAAAGCGTAACCATCTACAATGTCCCCACAGGGTGGGGGGCTAGCACCGTACCAGGAAAGCAAGCGCTCCGTGACTTTTCTTTTTCCTAGTTAACCCGGCGTAGTTCCTACCCGTATCTGCAGCTTTTAGAGGGCACGTGGGTGATGGGTGGGGAGGGTGTCCCTCCCAGCTCGGCTGGGAGCCCCTCCCTCCTCCTCCACCCTGCTGGACTCTCCCCCGACAGCCCTGGCTTTCCTAGTTGGGGTCCTCCCCCTCTTCGTCCTCCTCCTCCTCCAGGGAGCCTCCACCGCCGATCGCCATTCTGACTGAGATGACGCGGACTCCCGGCGTCGTGCTGATGTCCATGGATCACAGCTGAGCAAGTCAAATACTTCTCCGTGTGTCTGTGAGCCCACGGAGTGTCTTCTGAGAACTGCGTGTTCCTTCATTTAGCCCGTTGAGTAAGGGGATTACTTGTTCTCTGTGAGCCCCTTGTATATTTTGAAAAGGAGTCCTTTGCCCGTTGAATGGCTGGAGACAATTCTATTTTTAAACTCCCATTCTGTAGGCTGTCTCTCTTCATTCTGGGCTGCTTCAAATTAAAAAACAAAACAAAACCAAAAAAAAAAAAAAAAAACAAACCAAGTTTCTGCACATCAAAAGAAACAAGGCATGTTTTCTTAATTAGGGCCATTAGCATTGTCAACAAAGAATAAAAGCTGCTTGGCGGAGGACAAAGAAAATCACATTAATTAGGAGCTAATTAGGTTTGTTACTTAGGCAACGCAAATTGAAGTAGCTTTAAATTACGTGAGTCTATGGCTCCAAGGGGAAAAACATGGCAGCTGTATGTCAGAGCAGCTGGGTGGTTTAGACATAGCCTTGTGAGGCAGGAATTGCCACGTCTGCTCCCAGCGGTGAAGTGGAGAGAGGGTCACGGAAAGAGGGGGCTGGGCATGGTCTCAATCTCTGGGCATTTGGGGGACGGATCTGAGGTACCTAAGACCAGAAGATGTGAACAGTATAGAAATGTCAGGCCAGGGCTGGGAAGGTGGTTCAGTGCTAGAGCCCTTGCCTAGCATGCATGAGGCTCTGGGTTTGATTCCTCAGCACCACATACACAGAAAAAGACAGAAGTGGCTCTGTGGCTCAAGGGGTAGAGCGCTCGCCTTGAGCTGAAGAGCTGAGGGACAGCACCCAGGCCCAGAGTTCAAGCCTCAGGACCAACTAAAACATCAACGGCAAAAAAATTAGAAACAACAAAACCAAACCCCAGAGTCTGGTGCTAAACAATATCTACACACACAGAAAAAAGCTCAGCCAACGATGCGGGTGTAGGGAAGACGGGAGGAATCCCGCTTTCCTGACCAGCCTCAAGTCCTCTCCCCAATGGCAGTTTTTGAAAAATCCATTTCCAGAAAAAAAAAACAAAAACACATTCATCTCTTGGAGTCCTGAAGACAGAACTCAGAACAAAAGCAGACATCCTTCCCTAGCTCCTTTGTCTCCCGTTCAGCTGCAAAAACAAAAGCCTCCCTCCCTCCCTCCTTCTAGATGTTTCCATGATCAAGCTCACCACGAAGGGGTCAGCTCAAACTCCTACCCACGATCAACGATGACATCATCCCCGAGAGGTGGCATCATCCTGGGCTGTCGATCATGGCTGGCCTTTGTACCCAGGCCCCAAGGGCTTCGATGTGCAGGCTGAGGAGATGCCATCTACTCGTGATCAAGTCTTCTCTCCTCCTTCACCTGGGTCGCCTTGGATAGGAAAGGATGGCCGTGACCTCACTTGCGTAGCAATTCACAGAGACAAAGAAAGGGGGGCCTGTGGGAAGTCTGGGTGGAGAACATCCCTTGATGTTCGCATTTCTCAGCGGCAGAATTACTCAGGAGAAGGCCTGCAGGGTTGGCCTCCGGATTCCGACACCCGTCGTGATACCCTGTGCATTTGGAGAAAGCCCCACCCCATCAGGTCAGAAAACAGACACGGAGGGACAAGGAGCTACATCCTCAGTCTTCCCAGGGTCTGACTGCGGCCCACAAACCAGCGCGTCGAATCCTTCCGTCGGGCCTTTCCTTGGGAGAGCTGCAGGCAGAGGCGGCATGGGGGGGAGGGGGGAAACGCTGGAACAGCAGGCCCACATCGAGTGAGCTCTGAGCACCCCTGGAGTTTGGAGAGGCCAAGTGCTTCGGGCGAGGATGCAGAACACCACCCAGCCCTGCGCTTGTCTGGGGGCCGTTATTCTAGATTACCTTTTTCATACCGATGGCAAACCTACAGGTATTTCCAGAACTTTTCTAGCTCTGTCTAGGTCGTTTCCAGATACTAGACTGGCTATGTAATCAGCTGATTCTGAAGAAAACGCTGGCGTTGGGTTTCTTAAATTAAAGACAGGCATAGGGGCCTGTGGGACCTGTGCGGTTCTAGGGAACAGCTCTCTCGCTCCTGCCTCTGTCCAGCTGTGTGCCCTCTGCAGGCTCAGGCCCCAGCATGCCCTGCTGTGAATTCCCCAGGAACCCCCCTGAGCACTGGATCTGGAGTTCCACCGCTCAAAGGTAATCAGAAACAAGAAGGACGGGAGGAACTCCCAAAGAGCCAGCCAAGACCAGGCTGGTGAGGAACGTGCTTCAGAGAACAGCCAGGAGACAGAAATACAAGGTGGACGCTCGGGGCCGGAGCGAGGGCACATTGGGGAGGTGGGGGGCGGGGAAAGGAAAAGGATGGAAATGAAATCTGGGAGTTGGCAGGCCAGAAATGGGAGATTGGGGAGCGGCTGGGGCGGGAGCCAAGCCATTGTGTCCCGGGCCCTGTTCATCCAGCTAGCTCCCTTGGGAGGAAGGCACCATGTTCTGAATTTCCCAGAATCCACTGAGCCACGTACACCCTGCCCCAGGGAAACTTTCTAGCTTTATATCCGCCAAGCAGACCGGTTAAATCACTGTACTACCTGTAAGTGGTTGTATGCAGGAGGTACCGCATGACGGAGCCGTGTGCGAATGCGGGTCGCAGTGTGGGATCTGAGTCACCTCGCCATTCCCACCCCTCCTTCCCTTGTTTTTCTCAATTTCATGACATATACAGTGAATTCTTCACTGTATCCCCCCCCACACACACATACACACTTCAGTATACCCCTCTCCTCCTCTTGCAGGTCCCTGTTTCCTGGTGTTGATTTTGCTGTGTCTTGATGTCGTCTTTCCAAAAACAAAACCCCAAACCATCGTATCCGAGCTCCCCACGGGGTTTGGTCTATTTCGGTGAGTTCCTGTGCAGCCACGTGTACACCACCCAAGGTGTCTATAGGCTCATTGATTTATCTGCTGATCGATCGATCGATCGATCAATCAATGGATCTATTTACTATGTGGTTGAGATGGATAAAGCCAAAATCCGTAATTCCCACCGCTGCAAGAAACACCTGACAGAGGGTGAACGGAGCATGGAGCCATCCTGGGAGAAGGTTCTAGAATGGGTGTCTGGTAAAAGCCAAGTCTGCTCATGGATCCTGACCAGGCAGCAGGTGCCAGACCCCGGCCCTCCACCACCGTTCTCTACGGAGGAGGACGCTGCAGATCTAACCGCATTCCCATGACCTCCGGACTACAGTTCTCGTTTGGCCCAGGGCAGGATTACATTCTCTGCCTCTGGGAAGAGCCGCAGGGGTGGCCGAGGGTTCCAGTGGGAAACGAATGGAGTCCAGGGAGAATGGTGGACGCCGGTTGGCTCTGAGCCAGGACGGTGGGCAAACGTCTCTGCGGTGGTCTGTGAAGCGGGAGAGGGAGCTAGAGGGGGGGTACGGAAGATGGTGGGAGTCTCAGTATTCACTTTGAGAGTAGCGCTCGTACAAACTTGATTAAGGACTGTTTTCTATTGGTTCCGTTCCTGGGGCTTGAACTCGGGGCCCAGGCTCTGTCTCTGGGCTTTTCCACTCAAGGCGAGCACTCTACCACTTGAGCCACAACACCATTTCCAGGTTTTTGGTGGTGGTTCCTTGGAGATCAGAGTCTCATGGGCTTTTCCTGCCCGGGCTGGCTTTGAACCATGATCCTCAGACCTCAGCCTCCTGAGTAGCCACAGTTATAGGTGTGGCTCAGTTTATGAGTCTTTTTATGGAGCAACTTTGCCAATATGTAAAATTCCAATTTTAAAAAATGCATTTCCTCTTCTCCACCTTTATTCTCTCTCCCGCATCCTGGATTAAATTCCTCCACCTTCATCCTCTACCTAGCTCTGGATTCTACCCAAGTAGAAACTCCATCATTTCTTCCACATCAAAAATTAGCAAGAGATCAGGAAACATTTTTTCACCCTCAAACTTGGTGCCTGTGTACGTTGGAGAGATATTGTATTGTGAAACCTAGAACCATGAAGTTTGCAGAGGTACATAAAGATTTTTCCATGATCGCCACCCGGTGGCTAGACAGGATACAGACTTTACAAATCACATTCCTGTAACTTCACATTAAAAAGCTTTCCAACTTGCCCCCAAAACTATTTTGCCCACTACGCTTAATAAAGAAATGGTAGGTGTAATGTGTGGTCTTTAAAGAGAAAATGGCTTTTTTTCAGTTAAAATAAATGATAATATTTAAAGTAACTAGAAAACTCAAATTGCAAAAGGCACAATCGTTTTGGTTGGGTGATTCTTTAAAAATACGGTTATATAAATAAGTGTGGCATTGAATGATTAACACAGGTTCAGCAGAAATACTTGTGTGTGTTTGTATGCCTGTGTGTACATGTGTGTGTGCGCGCATGCACACGCATGCACCGGTCACGGGGCTTGAACTCAGCGCCTGGGTGCTGTCCCTGAGCCTTCTTACTCACGGCTGGTGCTCTGCCACTTGAGCCACAACGTCACGTTCGGCTTTCTGATGGTTCATTAGAGATTAGAGTCTCATGGACTTTCCTGCCTGGGCTGGCTTTGAACCGTGATCTTCAGATCTCAGCCTCCTGAGTAGCTAGGATGACAGGCGTGAGCCACTGGTGACCAGCTAACACATATGTGTTTGTTTTGATCCTTCAGACACGAATGAGAGTATTGTGAGTTTCCCGCCTGGGCTGGAGTACTTAGCGCAGGTCCTGTAAGTACCTTCTGTGACCGGAGGTGGGAGGGCGGTGGCCAGCTGAGAGACGGGCAGGGTAGAAGGGTGGTGGTCACACCGCCCGCTGTCCCTGGCTCTGTGGTTGGGGTGGCTGTCATTTCTGAAAGGGAAGGCCCGGTGGGTGGCTCTCCCGGTGACATGCTCTCCGTGGGGAGCCCGTGGACCCACGCCACGGCGCCTCGCGGAGGAAGTTGGGAAGAAAGGAGAACGGGTGGGGGAAGAGGCATGCGCTCTGCAGGGACGTGGCCTTCCCATGTGCAGGAACTGACTCGGAGAGCGAAGGGTGCTCCTCCCCCTCCTCCTCCTGCTGCTCCTCCTCCTCCTCCTGCTCCCCCTCCTCCTCCTCCTCCTCCTCCTCCTCCTCCTCCTCCTCCTGCTGCTGCTGCTGCTGCTCCTCCTGCTGCTCCTGCTCCTCCTCCTGCTCCTCCTGCTGCTCCTCCTCCTCCCCCTCCTCCTCCTGCTCCTCCTGCTCCTCCTCCTCCTCCTCCCCCTCCTGCTCCTCCTCCTCCTCCTCCTCCTCCTCCTGCTCCTCCTCCTCCCCCTCCTGCTCCTGTTCCTGCTCCTCCTCCTCCTTCTCTTCCCCTTCCTCCTCATCTTCTCCCTCCTTCCTCTCCACCTTTCCCTCCTTTTCCTCCTCCCCCTCCTCTTCCTGTTCTTCCTCCTCCTTTTCTTCTCCTCTTCTTCATCTTCTCCCTCCTCCTTCCGCTCCACCTTTTCTTCCTCTTCCTTCCCCTTTTCTTCTTCTCCTCTTCCTCTTCCCCTCTTCTTCCTCCTTCCTCTTCCTCCTCCTTCCTCTTCTTTCTCCTCCTCTTCTTCCTCTTCCTTTTCTTCCCCTCTTCTTCCTTCTCCTTCTCTTCCCCGTCTTCCTCATCTTTCTCCTTCCTCTCCACCTTTCCCTCCTTTTCCTCCTCCCCCTCCTCTTCCTGTTCTTCCTCTCATTTTTCTCCTCCTCCTCTTCATCTTCCCACTCCTCCTCCTTCCTTTCCATCTTTCCCTACTCGTCCTTCTTTTCCCTCTTCTCCTCTTTCTCCTCCTTCCTCTCTTCCCCTTCTTCCTTCTCCTTCTTTTCTTTTTCTTCTCCCACTCCTCCCCTTCCTCCTCCTCTTCCCCCTCCTTCTCCCTCCTTTCCATCTTTCCCTCCTCTTCCTCCTCCTTCCTCTCTTCCCCTTCTTCCTCCTCATTTTTTGTCCTCTTCCTTTCTCTTCCTCCTCTTCCTCCTCCCCTTCTTCCTTTCCACGTTCTTCTTCCCTTCTCTTCCTTCTCCTCCTGCTCCTCTTCCTCCTCCTATTTTTTGTCCTTGTGTGATGCTGGGGTTTGAACTCAGGCAGCTGTTGGCTGCCGGAGCCCCCAGCCCCCCCTGGCCCCCCCAACCCCCCAGCCCCCCCCAGCCCCTTTCCCATGGCTGAGATGGGGTCTTGCGTTCTGCACAAGCCAGCCTGGACTGTCCCCCTCCCTGTGAGGATGACAGGCGTACACCCCGGCCTGACCCAGGGCCGAGACGGGGTCTCTCGAACCCAAGGCTGAGATGAGGCTCATGAGCCTGTGGTGGGCTGGGGTCTCATGTCCGGAGCCTGTGGTTGAGCTGGGGTCTCTTCAATGGTGGTTGAGTGGGGGGTCACACGTGGTGAGCCCCTGGCTGAGCTGGGGTCCCGGGAATTTCCACACTGCACCCCATAACCCCCTGACCTCCCCCTGGCCAGCAGGCGGGGACGCAGGCGCGAGCCCGGGCCCACGCGTCCGTGCTGCGAGCAGGTGTGTTCCTGTGGCCCAGGCCCCCGTGTGTGAGGGAGGCGGCCCCCCCCACACCCCTCTAAGACCTCCGCACGTTTACGGGCCCGTTCCTAAGCTGCCTCCTGGTCTGTCACCATCCAACACGTTGCTCTGTTGTTCTGATGCCGATTAACTCAAGGCGGGGTCTGTTTTCCAATCGCTCGGCACCTAGGCCCCCAGAAGGTGCCCTGGGCTCAGCCCCCTCCCTCTTCTGTCCTAGGGGGTCCCCCAAATTGGAGGTCACGGCCCCTCCTCACCCTTGTACCCTGCGGAGAGGCTGTTCGTCTTCCATCCCAATCACGGGTAGATCGTGTGAGGGGGAGAGAGAGCACAGGTCTGAGCGTTGTGGTGCCCTCGCTTCGTCCCAGCCTGGGGGGTGAATTACCCGGCTTCCAGATTCTTCTTGGCCATCCTTCCCATTGTGTGGCCGGCGCGTGCTTCGTGTGCGTGGCGTGGGTGCTTTCCCCGAGCGCATGGCTGCCGTGGAGAAGCTGGAAACCGACCCCAGGCCCCTTCCTCCTCCCCGTGGTGAGCCGCCGTCCATCTGGTCCTCGCAGGTCCAGTCCCCGGACAGCGCGGCAGCCATGGGCAGCATCGTGTGCAGGTGGGACGGCCCGCCACCTCCCCACGCTTCCCCCGGACCAGGGCGTGAGGGTGAAGGCCGTGGCTTTGGGGGCATGCTGCCTCATGGTGAGTCCCGCCCCTCGGTCTGGACCTCTGCCGAGCCGTGGCCCCCTCGGAGGGAGGCCAGGGGAGGAGGCGGCAGGGGGAGGCTGCAGGGGGAGGCCAAAGCCATGCTGGCCTGCGTTTCCCTTGCGTGTCTGTCCACAGTGAGCCTCGGTTTCCCCGGATGTAAGATAGAAACACACGCCCTTCCAGCCTGGAGGGCCACGGAGATCTGAGGATCGCAGGAGGAAAACAGCCAGGGAGCCATGATGGGGATAGTGAGTGAAAGCCTGTAACGCTGGGCACCCCGTCTTCTTACTGTCAGCGAACCCCTGGACGTTGGGTCTCCTGGCCCCAGTCAAGTCATTGCTCTTTTCTTCGTCACCGTGATAAAGTCGGGTATTCAAGATGGGAGGTTTCTCGTGCGTGGGTATTTCCACATCTCCTCAGTCAGCCTTTCCGGCTTATCCGTGTAAACTAGAGCAATCGATGGATAATAATAGATAGCAGGTAATGTTAGATGATAACCATAATAAAAATAGTATGCATGATAATAACTATTAGACACCATAGTGATAACTTAATAATATATCAATACGAATCAATGATAAGATATGGATCATGTTGATCATGGCGGATCAGGGAGGATGGAGCCGCGTGTGTTGGGGGAAGGGCGGGAGCCGCCTTCCCCTGCCCTGTCTCAACGGAATTCCCTCCTTCCCCTTTCAGGAAGTCGTGTATTTTGAAAGCAGCCCACAACTTGGTTCATCCAGATAGAAAGAGACAGCGAGTTTTCCAATGGAGTGAGTGAGAGAGACACAGACACAGACAGACAGACAGACGAGTTGCATAAGGCTTCAAGCCCTCCTTGATAAGTCAATTTCTCTCTCCCCCCCCCCCCCCCATTGAGTGTTAGCTGTGGAATGCAGGCCAAGGTGGAGTCAAAGCGCTGAGCCCCCCGAATTCCGTGTCCACTCAGTAGGGTGGGATCCGCGTCAGGCCAAGCTCCGACCCGTGCACAGAGCAAAACAGACCCTCGGTGACCTGGGAGGTGAGGCCCAGTGTCCCCCAAGGCGGGCTGTGTGGCTCCTGCCTGTAATCCGGTCCTCTTTTGTCATGAAGACAGACTCCATCCCAGGCAGCAAAGAAGGAGCATCTTTATCTTCAGCGCTGGGATCTAGACGCACAAGGAGGGCGCTTTACAGCACCAAGGAAATTCCACTCAGGCCCAAGCGCCGGTGCCCAGGCCTGCAAGACGGTCGGCATGTCCTCAGGAGACTTGATTACCAGGCCGTTTCCTTTCTCGTCCTGTGGGTTGTGGCTTCCTGTGTGTCACTTTGCCGTGTAGACAGACACAGGATGACACGGACAGGGACGGTGGCCAACTGGACCCCCATCGGGAAACCCAGCACGTTGTACACTTACACCTCTTTTTAACTCATTACACACGCAGTGCACTTTTATTCATTCCACAGAAGGGCTCTGCTGGTCCCGACGCTTTGCGTGTGAAATGCGCCTGGCCATGTTGCCCAGGGTGGCTAGGAAACATTCGTGTCTCCTTGCGTGGTGTCACAGAGAGAGGATGTTGTCCTTCAAGGAGGCTGGTGAGGACAAGGTCATTTGAAGGGCAGAGCCATGGACCCGCTGTTGGACCTCGAAACGAGATGTGTTGGGGGTAGCCGTTCATAAAGGAAAAGCCAGAGCCCCAGAGGTTGGCGCCGGTCCACTGCGGCCTGTCTATATGTTCATGACTCTCCACCGTGGAGATAACAAAGCAGAGCCCAGCCGCTGTGAGTTCAGATCACGCAGGACCAGCCGAGTGAAAGCACGCGGTTGGTATTACCTGAGAAGGTGGCTCAGTGGTCGAGTGCTTTTTCTTAGTAGTTTGTTGGAAATAAGAGACTCACAGGACTTTCCTGCCCAGGCTGGCTTTGAACCTCGACCCTCAGATCTCAGCCTCCTGAGTAGCTAGGATGACAGGCGTGAGCCACACATTCTTACCTATTATTCATAATTCCTAGTCCAGTTATTGATAATACATATAGTGTTACATTATGCAGGCGGGTGGCTGGAATTTGTAGCTATAAGGGGAGGAGGGAATTCAGAGTGCTTTTCATAATGACTAGAATCTCCAGGAGTTATATAACAAAGTGGGTTACCAAACTAACCTGCCCTTAAGAGTTTTCCAGCTATGTAGTAAGCTCAAGTTTAGGGAAAGCAGTGTTTCTTGGGCATGTTATCTTGCTGTCTGCTTGTCAGCTATTTTTTTCCAGGGCTCTATGTTTAACTTATATTGACAAGAGGCAAGCTTGGAAAATCCATCTCTCTGGGTTTAATAAACGAATATGAAATTCAGCTGTTCAGCTCGTGATATAAAATGGGTCTACGAATGCATTTCTTACACCTCTTGGCAATTATAAATCCCGGGAAACAGACAAGCAGCACTGAAGAGTAGAGAAAGTAGCTTCTTGACCTTTGTCATGGACAATAACAGCATTTCGTGACACGCACTCATTTTAGTACGAAATTACCCAGGGGCGTTCTTTAACGTAAGTATGGAAGTTACAAATATTGCAGGCTTGCAGTTTATTCATACATATTAGGCCTAAACCTCGTTTTCTATTTGCAGTGACGTGATTTTTTTTTTTTTTACCATCACATTACTGAATTCCTCATTGTCATAAGAAATGTTTACTATTCCTGATACTATGTTGGACACGAATGATACAGTTTCTGGCACTGTGTCTGATGCTCTCGTTAGGTAAAAGGTGTTCACCTAAAGTGATGTCAGGCTCCGATAAACCTATAAACCCAGGCTTCGATTCCTCTGCTCTGTGAAGTTATACACAGTAAAACACAAACTCATTTGCTCAAATTGCCTTTGTAAAGTCACTGAACATAATTTAATTCGGTTTAAATGTTTTATGACACCATGCAAGCCCAGCGTTAGAAATCAGGGTTATTTAAACTGTTGGTTTCTACAGGATGGGCAGTCAGAAGGTTCTAGAAAAGGAATCTGAATGCTGGAGAATGGAGCTGGTCCCCACCCCATTGTCCCAGAGCCAGAGGCTGAACATCAGGACACACGCCAGGGGGCAGCAGCGGCCTGCGGAATTTTCCACTACTCCGTGTGCAGGAAGTGCTTCGCATCAGTGGGTGTGAGTTTGAAGTGCGTTCTGTGCTTTGACAAGCAAAGCCAAATCATTTGGGTCGTGTGCACTTACAGAGTCTACTTTTCAACCTTAAAAGTTCACAGGGAGTAAAAAAAGGGCACCCAGAGTCAGACCCGCTGGAATTCCTTCTTCTTTTGTGGCCTAAACATAAAACACCAAAACAGACCCGATTACATTGCTCTCATTTAAAATTATCTTCTGCAAGTATAAAAGCATTTTACACTCACGGTGATAGGTTAAGCTGTTAATTTAAGTAAGTTAAAGGTTTAAAATGACTATGTTGGGCCTGGCACCAGTGGCTCACCGCCTGTCATCAATCCTTAGCTACGCAGGAGACTGACATCTGAAGACTGAAGTTCAAAACTAGCCTGGGAAGAAATGTCTAGGAGACTCTTAAAACTCCAGTTATCCCATACCAAAAAAAACCCCTCAGAAGTGGAGCTGTGGCTCAAGGGCTGGAAGGCCACCCTTGAATTGAAAAGCTCAGAGACAGTGCCCAGGCCCTGAGTTCAGTCCCCAGTACACACACACACACACACACACACACACACACACACACACACACACACACCTGACCCCTTCACTTAGGACCTTTCCTGTGTGATTTAGAAAAACAAAATACATTAGGTTACATGGAAGTAGGTTTAATCGGTAGCAAGGACTGAGCGGATGGGGGCCATGGGAAGTGGGGAGTTGGAGAGATACTTGCCATTGTTCCTTCAAGGCTTTTGTGATACACATTAATGCCTAGGAGCCTCCTATCCATCAGGCATTGCGTATATGCGCGCGTGTGTGTGTGTGTGTGTGTGTGAGAGAGAGAGAGAGAGAGAGAGAGAGAGAGAGAGAAAGAGAGAGAGGAGGAGGAGGGGTGGCCTGGCTGTGGATCTCCACATCGAGTTCAAATGGAAACCATGTGGTTTCCTTCTGTAAGAGGTCTCCTGGAGAGAAAGGAGGAAGGAGTCTCATCATGGCCCACTTGTGAACTCTAGTTTCTGGAATTTTCCATGGATGGCTCAAGTGCTCATTATATAGAACACAAAGGTAGGAAGACAAATGTCTCCACGGTCACAGTGTGGAAATACGCAACAAGGAATGGGATGTCTATCTGCCCCGTAGGTCCCTCCGGGGAGACTTGGGGGGGTGAGTGGGAATGACAGGGAGTGGACGGTGGGGGGGTCAATCCAGCCTCCAGCCTGGCTAAGTTCACATCCAGCCAGACACAGAACCCTGTCTCCGATACCGAAGCCCCCGTGTGGTGTAGCTTGTGGTGGTGCCACGAGAATTCGAATACGATCGTGTATGTGGCTCGGGTCCGATTTTGCCGACGGTTAACCAGTTGGGGGAGAAGGAAAGAAGGCAGCGCAGAAACGGGCTTTGTGTCTGTGCAATTCCGAGCTATGGAAGCAAATTGACCCAGAAATACCCTCCGGGGATAAAAAAGACCTCTGGTGAGCAAGCCAGCTGTAAGTACTGATTTTCTTGAGGGAAAGAGAAAAGAGGAAAACTTCCAGACCACAAGGTTTGCCTCTTTGGAAGCTCCTGGCATCCGAACTGGGCATGGTGGATTTGTTAAGTGGTCTGGTTCTGGGCCCTTGTTAAAATGGAAATATGAAGTCATCAGAAACGCAGCTGAGTCACAGACAGACGGAAAAGCCTCCCCCTTCTCGGTGCTGAAGCAACGGGGCAGTGTGTCTTGGGGGGCCATCTCCTTAAGACACGGAATCCGTGTCTGGTTCTGACAGTGCCAAAGCCAGGAGCCCAGACCACAGTCTCCACGTGCAAAGACAGCGAAGGTGAAGAGGACTTAGGCTTCAACCAGGAACGCTCAACTGAGTTCCGGCGGCTAGGAGGCCTCTCTCTCTCTCCCCCAGCCCCAAGCTCCACAAATGAACTAAGGCAGGTGGGAGTTAATCAAGCACCCCCAACGGCTGAATAGCAGATAATTGCACCCCGTCCCGCACGGTGTTTCTACGCGTTCAAATCGCCCTTTTGCAAGCTGCATTCTTCAAAGGGCAGCATGCAGACAAAGCACATTAGTAGGAACCACACACACGTCCTGGTAAAAGATAAACATAGGCTGTCTACCCAGGTCTCCTAAAAGCATTTCTCTCCAGATCTCCTCCTGTGCAGATACAGGCCTGCGCTGTACACACCGCAAATTCCAGTCCTCCACTTGAAAGGCATGCGTTTGAAGGCTAGAGGACAGTTAGCCTGAAAACACCTTCTTCAAACACTTCTTATTCTTGAAAGTTCAACTCAACATGTTCACTTGCCTGCCTGCCTGCCTGCCTCCCTCCCTCCCTCCCTCCCTTCCTTCCTTCCTGCCTGCCTGCCTTCCTGCCTGCCTTCCTTCCTGCCTTCCTGCCTTCCTTCCTGCCTTCCTGCCTTCCTGCCTGCCTTCCTGCCTGCCTTCCTGCCTTCCTGCCTTCCTTCCTGCCTTCCTGCCTGCCTTCCTGCCTTCCTTCCTGCCTTCCTGCCTTCCTGCCTTCCTTCCTGCCTTCCTGCCTTCCTTCCTGCCTTCCTGCCTGCCTTCCTGCCTTCCTTCCTGCCTTCCTGCCTTCCTTCCTGCCTTCCTGCCTGCCTTCCTGCCTTCCTGCCTTCCTTCCTGCCTTCCTGCCTGCCTTCCTGCCTTCCTTCCTGCCTTCCTGCCTTCCTGCCTTCCTGCCTTCCTTCCTGCCTTCCTGCCTTCCTGCCATCCTTCTCTTTCCTGTGCTGTTCTTGGGGCTTGATCTCAGGGGTGGTGCTCCACCACTCGGACCACAGCTCCACTTCCAGCTTTTTGGTGCTTCCTTAGTGATAAGAGTCTCATGGTGTTTCCCGGGCTGACCTCAAACTGCAATCTTCAGATCTCAGCCTCCTGAGTGGCTAGGATGACAGGCGTGAGCCACTGGCTCATTTGTAAATTTTATAGTGGTATGAGAGCAATGATTTATATGATCACATGTATAATGGCTGCTGCATGCACCTACCATGGACGGACCGCAGGGAAACAAGCAAACCACTCTTATTTCAGTAAGATCAGAAAACAAACGGTGTTATAAACCACCCATGACTTCAAAGCTGGCTTCATTGTTCTGCTAAGACAATTTTGAGAAAAATCAAATCCTCTTCTTCATCTATCGACTGCTATTATTAAAAGAGAGAGTAACTCCAAGAGGGGACATTTTGAGTCTTTATTATATATTATTATTTCAAACGTGTCAATAACATGTCAATGTTTTAAATTGGCCAATGAATATGGTTCGTATTTTTGGAACAGGATCTTGGTCTATCATCCAGGCTGATCATGAAACTGTGATCATTCTTGTGTCTCAGTCTTCTGATGGCTGAGATTACAGCTATCTGCTACAATGCTGTGAGCATCAACTGTAACTGTAAATGGCAGGTTTTCTATTAACTTGTATAAGATTCACAAGTCACAGTATAAAATTACACACACACATATATGTATATATGTGTATATATACTTATAAAAATGAAAACCTTTTGGGATAAGCAAGTGTGACTCAGCTGAATGAGCAGGCATGATCACAGTTATTTACTGTTAACTAAGGACACCACAGATAGTAGACAATGCTTTGTATGGCTGAACACCGGCTCCCTCGCCACAGAGACCCACAGGGAGTGAAGGAACAGAGCGTTGTCTTAACGAAGCATTGCAAGAAGAACTAGAAAAGACAATGAGGTGCAGCGATCGTCCCTCTTGGTATTGGGAATTCTGGTTCCGAATTATACAAGGAGAGTCAGTGTCTTCTGAAGTAAACTACCAGAAGCACAGGCTAGCCGCGAGACGAGCGTATGAATGGGGTCTTTCTCTGCGGTGGAAATGGGGGGTGAATGACCTCCTTCATTCATCACCACACCGCACGCCTGCGGCTCTCAAGGTACCAGACCGGGCCTCCGGTGGGGAAATACAAATGTGTGTCTGTCTGCCCTCTCCCTGCCTGCCTGGAACCACAATCGGGGCCTCACGCCGAGCGGAGGCCGCTCAGACAGGGCAGGCGCCATTTCTCCAAGGATGCTGAGCCTTCAGACCGTTCCTTGCTGTTGTTGTTTTGAAGGACAATGGATTGTATGTTTCAGAGGATTCAAGAGAGGTCGATTCGGGGGGGGGGGGGGGGGGGGGGACTGGAACTCATGTAAGCCTGAGTTTGTTTTCCTTCGGTGTAGGTGAGTTCGTGTGTGTGTGTGTGTGTGTGTGTGTGTGTGTGTGTGCAGCAATCACTATACCTGTGGGCTTCGGCACCATTAGGCTGTCCCTGCGATCATGATTTTTCCTGATAGGTTTTAAAGGATGCACAGTTCATATATTCACCGTATGGGTTTCAGAAATCCAAAACTTCAAGGCCTGTAGATTAGAAACTCCAAGGTGAACACCGAAGAGTCTTCAAATGTAGGTGACTGATTAATAATTTAATAGTAGTTCTTTGAATGACAATAAAGGAAGCCAGATTTCTGGTTCTCTCCGCTCCAAAAAGAATCAGGAAGGGAACCAAAAAAGGAGAGCCAGTAGCGTTCCTTAGCTTTATAAACGTGCACACCGCCATCATCTTTCAAACTCCGGGTTTTCATCTAACGAAAGCTACCACACATCTCTGGTGGCTGTGGGAAGAAGCTATTCCAAAACACCACTAAAAGAAAACCAACAACAACAGCCACAAAGCAATGTGAAGTGGTGGAGAGCCTTGTACCCAGAGGGCTTTGAGTTCAACTCTCAGAAACAAGAGTATGACACAATTTACTAGATGGCTTTCCTAGGCCCAGAGTTCAAGCCCCACGACTGACAAAATAAAAATTAGATGGCCTGGCAATTTGCTCATGAATACAGGTAATCAGACAGAAGTGTCATTTATCTTATAATCTGAATGGCATCTGGAATATAATATCTGTGGTGACTGTTGATACACAAAAAGCCATGGGTAAGACAAAGAAAAAGGAGATTTCTCCCCCCCCCCCCATTTCTGTGATTGATTTGGGGAAATGGATAGTGGAGACAATTTATAACCTTTATTTATTTGGAGTTAGGCAATGCATCATCATTATTGAACACCTGAGGAATTTAAGGGGGCATTAAAGTAACTGATGTCATAATATTTCCCGTTTGCAGATTAAAAAAAAAAAAACTGTTCCAGGGGAAAAAGTTCTTACATAAAAACCTTAAAGGATTGCTTGCTTTTTATGATAGCATATACTGGAAACTTCTTTTAAGGGGAAGGGCACGTAGGTACTTGTTATCCTTTGCACCTAAGCAGTGATTTTTTTCTTTTACTTCAGGATAAAATTAGTGTTCATTATCTCTAAATTGCGATTTTTAAGTCCTGTGAACGGCTAGGAGAAAACGAGAAATAAGAAGGCCTGCGCTTGTGAGCAGCCGTGAGCAGAACAGCACTGTGATTACGTCCCTGAGAAATGACAGCTCAGCCACCCCCCAGCTACCCTCTGACACCCAAGACGTGGGTGCTCCTGGGAGAGGCCTTAAAACCTGGGGTGCTGGCGGGAAGTTCATGGGCGTTCTGTCTGAGAGCCCTCGGGTAGAGTGATGGTTACCGGCAACTTCAAAACACGTTACCTGGCAGCCGCGTGGGGTGCGATCTGCACCTGGAGCACAGAAAATTATACCCCGGGCCACGCTTGTCTCTGGAAGCCTGTAATGGAGACACACTCCAGGAGACAAGAGGAGTTGTGTGTTGGTTACGGGCCGACTTGGCCAGTGCGAGCATTTCTTCATTGGCACACTCCTCTTACACACCAGATTGACTGGAGAAAGATTTCCACTGGACGCGTCTCCCGGATCTTAGGAATGCCCCGTTTGGAATAGCGTTAGCACTTTTAGGATAGATGTCTCAATAGCAGACATGCTCCCAAGACCAACACTTTATCATTTCATACTGTTTCACCCCCCCCCCTTCTCTTTTAATAGCGTCTCTGGTGTTATTTTTAGCTCCAATTATTCTGGCTGAGTCAGTTGTGATCGATGGATGCAGATACTACTACATAGGCAGGCCCGAACGGAGGCTTCCCAGGTCCAGAGAGGCTCTAGGCCTCCATTCTCCGGGAAGTGTACGTGAGGATGAAGGAAAGATCTTGGGCTGGGACGCGTCACACGGGGCCCCAGGACTGTGACGTGAGCTCTTTGAGGTAAGGTATCTAAAGTCTACTCACAGTAGACTAATGATAACAGCGATCCTCGCTAGCACGGGAGCAGGGCGAGAGGCGGACTCCAGCTTACCTGGAGCCCATTTCTGTATAACCACGTAGAGATCTCTCAGAAGAATGAGTGGGAGAGACAGAAAGAAGGCCTTAAGATATTCCAGGGAAATCTGAAGGAATTGAGCTTCCCCTGTCCCCTCCCCTTTCTCCCCCTCCTAAGATTCCCCACAGGCCATTTCTGGAGAATTCTTTCTTAATGAATCTTCCTGATTACATCCTGGCTGCTTCTCTAGTCTAGACTTCTAGATAACTCTTCTTCACTCTCCATCCTTGGAAGGTTCCTGACTCTTGACTTTTTCATGGGTTTCTGGGCAACGTTCTCACGCTGGGGGGACCAGGATGGGTGAGACTGCGTGGAGCTCACCGAATGGTTAGAACACGCGGGGCCGTGTGTCGCGCCCCGCCGCCATTCGAGGCGTGCTGGCATTACCTAGGCCAGCAACTATGTCCTAACAGGGAACAGCACTGAGGCAGCAGGCAGACGGGGTCGGGGGGGGGGTGCCTGCGGGTGGGTGACTCAGAGCCCAGCCAGCTCTGCCCCCCAAACCATCTCCCCAAGTCACAGAACAGCTGCTAGAATCATCCCGGGAAAGCTTGGCTCTCTCTGGGCTGCCTTGGCTGCCTCCCCCCTGGGCCTTGGCTGAGCTCCGGGTTACAGCTGACATCACTTTCCAAGGTACAAGGATCTCACAGCTCTCCTCTGCCCGGGGAAGATTCCATGGAAGCATGGCTAAGAGAGTTAAAAAAAAAAATGACAGTTAATCTGGAGGAGTTTCATGAGGATGGATATTTAGTACAGAAGAAGGAGGAAATGGACTTGCTGTTGCTTTTCTCCTACTCCTAAAGAACCACCCATGAACCACCCAAAAGCTGGAAGTGGCGCTGTGGCCCAAGTGGTGGAGCACTAGCCTCGAGCAGAAGAGCTGAGGGACAGCGCCCAGGCCCTGAGTTCGAGCCCCAGGACTGGCACACACATGGCTTTTGTGGGTGAATAAATCTCTTTCCCTCACCATGTGTCTGAGAAGTTCAGTCCACTTTCTTCAGCTGGTTTTGTCTGAAAACATTTCCAAAGTTGAAAAAGGTCACCTGTCAAACCATGAGTTAAAAAGAAAAGGATCAGAAAACAAACAAACAAACTACTAGGGACCAGAGAATCTGGGACTCACTTTGGATATACAAAAGCCAACTTCATCTTGGTGGCGACTTGATCGCCCTAATTTTAATTAGAAAGGACACGCCCAGGCAGGCACCAGAGGCTCGAGCACACCAGCCACCCTGCTTGCTTGGGGTGCAGAGACAGGAGAATTTGCATCCCAGGTCACGGCTTCAAGGAGACGCGTAAATAGGAGGATGGTGGTCCCCAGGCCCACTCAGGTAGGAAGGGAGATCCAATCGAAATATCCACCAGAGCCATGCAGGGCTGGAAGTGTGGTTCAGTGGTTAGAGCACCTACCTAGCAAGAGCCAAGGCCCTGAGTTCTAACCTCAGGACAACCAAAACTAAACCACAAGATAAACAAAGAGGGAAGAAAGGCTCTGCCCAGACACCGCAGCGTGGAGGGGCATGTTCCACTGTTCCTCCCTCCCTCCCTCCCTCCCTCCCTCCCTGGTGCTTACCCGAAGCTTTTGTGAGCTGTTCACCCCCAACCTGCCCCACTTCACCTCACCTGGCAGCTTTCAAACCCTATGCCAGAATTGGATGTGGCTGGTGAGTTCACAGAATGGGACAATGGCAGACTCACAGGCCCTGGGCCTGGGAAACGGGCCAGGGATCCTGAGCCCTGGAGTTCATGGTTTGAAAACGTGCTCACTGCTCAGGATCAGCTCACCGGGGTTTCCCAGCCACCCCTTCCTTATCTACCTGGCTTTGTTTAAGGGCCTCAGGATGGGCCAGCTCTGGAATAGAGCACAGCTCTGGAGACGAGAAAAGGCCTAGTGCTCCTTTGTGGTCTGGCTTTCCAGAGATGATTATCTCCTAACGATCAATTAAGTTTCTTATCGCCTAAAGGTTAAATAAATAGGTGTGTTTATCTACAGGAGTGTGGAATACAGACGTCTGGGGTGTGGTTAGAAAGTAAAAGCTCTGAGCCCTTAGGCGATAGGGTTTGGATTGTTCTTGAAGCAGTCTTTGAGTTGGGGATCCGGTTGGATCTGGCCACGGGAGGTGTAGATGCGGTTTGGGGGAAGGGTGGTCAGGGACAGGGAGGTGGCTGGTTAGGAAAGCAGTAAGCCAGGGGCCCCTCAGGAGCCTATTAGTGGGCGGGGTGACAACGAGACTGGAAAGGGACCTAGAGATGCCCCAACCGTGTGGGTTAGCACGCAGACAGGAGGTTGGCAGGGAAGGAGGCGGAACATGGAAGGAGAAATGCTTAGCACAGGGTGATGCTGGAAACAGAAGAGGGCAGGGATTTGGTTGCAGACCGTGATAGAAGTGTCTGGCTATTTTGAAAATCCCAGAGAGACCGACCGGCTCTTACCACGGCTCTCTGCAGGGGTGGGGGAAAGAGGGAAAGTGTGTCACCGTCTCCGGCAATTACCGGCGGGCCTCGGTGTGCACACACAGACCACACCCACCCCACACACCTGTCAGTGTGAAAGGGGAAAGCCAGGACCGCCATACCACATCTTCAAGATCTCCAAGAGCACCAGAGAAGCAAGACGTCAACTTCAAGGAGCCTGGGCGGAGCTGCGTTTGGGTTGTGGAAATTGACACCCAACCCCAAAACTTGAGGAAGTATTACACCCCTGAGGACTCTGTTTGCTTCCTGCCTAGGTCTACGGGGGTGGGATTTCCACCTAGAAAGGATGCTAGTAAAGGAACCCAGCGCTGTGTCCGGTCACTCTCTTGGCTGTAGTAGGAACTGAACCCAGGGCCCCTTCCTTGCTAGGCAAGCGCTCGGCCACGGACTGCCAACGGCGACCCAGCTACCGCGGCCACCCTGGGAGCTGAACCGCGGGATGTACCCCACACCCACCCCACCCCGTCCCTTAGCTTATAATTTTTTTCTTCAGACTCAGTACATGGTATTTCATTCTCTTCACAGGTCAGACTTTCCATTTCTTAATTATTCCTGCTCTCCTCTGAACGCTCTCCAGTTTTCCTTTTAAAAAATAGAAATTAGAAAAAAAAAAGAAACACCCATTTTTCTTTTTTCAAAACACAGCACGGCAATCACTAGCTAGGTTCTGGGCACCAAATACGACTTTTTTTTTCCCCTCCCACCTAAAATGTCACACTCCAGGCAACACGTCTTTATGGGTTTCCTTAAAAACACTTTTTCCACACCTGTTTATAACCACCCCCCCCCCCAACAGCCATCTTCTCACCCACATCATCTTAACCTGCTCCTGCCAGGGTTAGACGAAGCTGGGACTGGTGTGAGGAGCACTACGTTTTTAAAAAAGAAAGGAAGAAGAAATGTGAGAGACAGACAGACGGATGGACAGACAGAGGATTTGCTCAGACCCTGGAGGGGCCCCGGGGTGCCATCGCCCATCTCGGTGGACACAGGACACAGGTTTCAGGGCAGGGCCCCGGCGTGCTTCTGGCCAGCAGCCTTTGCAAGCCTGGTTTCTGGACGAGTCCACGGCGGTGCTGGCACGGGTGGGGACAGGACATGTTCACCCGGCCATAAAACCCTGGTGTACAGAGGGACAGCTGGAGCCCGGCCTCTCCACTGCCAGGGGCGGGGACAGCTGCCGGGGTGCGTGGGGCCGCCCAGGGGGCTGTGGGCTGTGGGGTGCGGGGGGGGGGGCTGTGGGGTGCAGGGGGCTGTAGGGGGCTGCGGGGGGCTGTGGGGTGCGGGGGGCTGTGGGGTGTGGGGTGCGGGGGGCTGTGGGGTGCAGGGGCTGTGGGGTGCAGGGGCTGTGGAGTACGGGGCTGTGGGGTGCAGGGTGCTGTGGGGTGCAGGGGCTGTGGGGTGCGGGGGGCTGTGGGCTGTGGGGGGCTGTGGGGTGCAGGGGCTGTGGGGGGCTGTGGGGTGCAGGGGCTGTGGGGTGCAGGGGCTGTGGGGGGCTGTGGGGTGCAGGGGTGTGGGGGGCTGTGGGGTGCAGGGGCTGTGGGGTGCGGGGCGCTGTGGGGTGCGGGGGTCTGTGGGCTGTGGGGTGCAGGGGGCTGTGGGGTGCGGGGGGCTGTGGGGTGTGGGGTGTGGGGTGCGGGGGGCTGTGGGGTGTGGGGTGCGGGGGGCTGTGGGGTGCAGGGGCTGTGGGCTGTGGGGTGCGGGGGGCTGTGGGGTGCAGGGGGCTGTGGGGTGCAGGGGCTGTGGGGTGCAGGGGCTGTGGGGTGCAGGGGGCTGTGGGGTGCAGGGGCTGTGGGCTGTGGGGTACGGGGGGCTGTGGGGTGCAGGGGGCTGTGGGCTGTGGGGTGCGGGGGGCTGTGGGGTGCGGGGGGCTGTGGGGTGTGGGGTGCGAGGGGGCTGTAGGGTGCGGGGGGCTGTGGGGTGTGGGGTGCGGGGGGCTGTGGGCTGTGGGGTACGGGGGGCTGTGGGGTGTGGGGTGCGGGGGGCTGTGGGGTGCAGGGGGCTGTGGGGTGTGGGGTGCGGGGGGCTGTGGGGTGCGGGGGGCTGTGGGGTGTGGGGTGCAGGGGCTGTGGGGTGCGGGGGGCTGTGGGGTGCGGGGGGCTGTGGGGTGCGGGGGGCTGTGGGGTGCGGGGGGCTGTGGGGTGTGGGGTGCGGGGGGCTGTGGGGTGTGGGGTGCGGGGGGCTGTGGGGTGCGGGGGGCTGTGGGGTGCGGGGGGCTGTGGGGTGTGGGGTGCAGGGGCTGTGGGCTGAGGGGTGCGGGGAGCGGTGGGGGGCGGGGGGCTGTGGGGTGCAGGGGGCTGTGGGGTGTGGGGTGCGGGGGCTGTGGGGTGCGGGTGGCTGTGGGGTGCGGCGTTCTCTTCCACGTGCTGGCGTCGGCGCCCGGGGACCCCCCCCCCCTGCGGGGCGCCCCTTCCCAAGGGCGGCGGGAAGCCGCCAGCTTTCCCTTTCCCGGGGCTCCCGGAAGCTTCTGGAGAGGGCCTGGGGGAGGCGGGGGGCGGGGCGGGGGGCGGGGCGGGGGGCGGGGTCCCCCCACCCGGCCGCGGGCGCGGCTCCAGTCCCCGCGCGGCGTGCGGCTCCGCACGTAGGGCGGCGGCCGGGCCGGGGGGCGCGGGGTCCCCGCGGGGGCGGGGCGGGGCCGGGGCCGGGAGGCGGGGCCGGGGCCGGGGCCGGGGGGCGGGGCCGGGGGCGGGGCCGGGGGCGCGGGGTCCCCGCGGGGTCGGGGCGGGGCCGGGGTCGGGGCGGGGCCGGGGGCGGGGCCGGGCCGGGGGCGTGTGCGGGGCGGGACGGGGGCGTGGCCAGGCCGCCGGCGTCCAATGGGCGGGCGCGGCCTCCCCGCCCTCCCCGCGCCCTCCGCGCTTTAACCCCGGGCGCCGCGCCCCGCCTCCGTCCGGCTCCTCCGCGCCGCCCGCCGCCGCCTCCGCCCCGACCCCGGCCCGGCCCGCGTCCTCGCCCGGCCCCGCGTCCTCGCCCGGCTCCGCCGACCCCGGCCCCGCCGACCCCGGCCCTCCGGCCCGGCCCGGCGCCCGCCTCGCGCGCTCTCGCGAGATCCGCGTGCCGGGGTCCCGGGGGTCCCGGGGGTCCGAGGGCGCGCGGCGGAAGATGGTGCGGAGCGCGCGGGGGGCCCCGCGGCCGCCGCCTCCGACGCTGCCGCTGCTGCCGCTGCTGCTGCTGCTGGCGCTGCGCCCCGGGCTCCCGGCGCGGGCCTCGGGAACGCCCGCAGGTGAGCGGGGAGCGGGGCCGTGCGGGGGCCGTGCGGGGGCCGGGACGCGGGGCGCGGGGGCGCGGGGCGCGGGGCGCGGGGGCGCGGGGGCGAGGGCGCGGGGGCGCGGGGGCGAGGGCGCGGGGGCGCGGGGCGCGGGGGCGAGGGCGCGGGGCGCGGGGGCGAGGGCGCGGGGGCGCGGGGGCGCGGGGGCGAGGGCGCGGGGGCGCGGGGGCGAGGGCGCGGGGGCGCGGGGGCGAGGGCGCGGGGGCGCGGGGGCGCGGGGGTGCGGGGCGCGGGGGCGAGGGCGCGCGGGGCGCGGGGCGCGGGGGCCGGGGACCCCGCGCAGGGGGCGCGGGGCGAGTGGGCCGGGGGCCGTGCGGGGGGGGCGCGGGGTTCGGGGGCCGGGGACACCGTGCGGGGGCCGGGGACCCCGTGCGGGCGCCGGGCGCGGGGTGCGGGGCTGGGGACCCCGTGCGGGGGGTGCGGGGGCCGGGGACCCCGTGCGGGGGGTGCGGGGACCGGGGACCCCGTGCGGGGGGCGCGGGGTGCGGGGGCCGGAGACCCCGTGCGGGGGGCGCGGGGGTGCGGGGGCCGGGGACCCCGTGCGGGGGGTGCGGGGGCCGGGGACCCCGTGCGGGGGGTGCGGGGGCCGGGGACCCCGTGCGGGGGGTGCGGGGGCCGGGGACCCCGTGCGGGGGGCGCGGGGGGCGGGGGCCGGGGACCCCGTGCGGGGGGGTGCGGGGGCCGGGGACCCCGTGCGGGGGGCGCTGGGTGCGGGGGCCGGGGACCCCGTGCGGGGGGCGCGGGGTGCGCACCCGCTCGTGCCGCCGGCCCCGCCCGGGCGAGCGTGGGCTCCGTCCCCGGCCGCCTCCCAGCTGCGCGCCCCGTCCTCCTCCAGGACTTGGGGTCCCCCCCCCGTCCGCCCCGGGGCCGCGGCGCCGGTGACCCCAACTCGCCGGCTGTCGTCTGGGCTTGGGGGTCCCCCGCCCCCCTCTCCCCGGCCGGGAGAAAGCAGCGCCCCACCAGCCCGGCCGGGCGCCCCTCCGCCTCCACAGCCAGGGGCGCCATGGCCACCCCGGTTCAAAGGTCGGAGCCCCCACGGCCCGCGCCTCACCCCGCAGCCCGGGGCCTCCACGCCACGGGAGGAACCACACCACCCATCAGCCCCATTGATCAGTCGATCAGTGAACCAGTAAGGGGCTCATCTCCCCAGCCAGCCGGGCTGCGCTTCCTGCTGAGAAGCAAAACACATGGCTGGACGACTCCAGCCCAAGCCTGGCTGCTGCCATCACCCCGAGTGTGTGTGTGTGCGCGCGTGCATGTGTATACACACGCGTGGACATACACATGTATATACAGGCATATACACATACAGACATACACATACATATACACACATACACACATGTACAATGCACACATACACTACACATATACACATACACATACACATACACATACACATACACACATACACATATACATATACATACAGACATACACACATATACACACATGTACAATACACACATACACTACACATATACACACATATACATACATATACACATACGGACATATACACACATGCACACGTTTACACATACACTACACATACACATACAGTACACATATAACACACATATATACGCACACATATACACATGTACACACGTACACACATCTAGTCCCTCCAAGGCCACATCTGGAGAATAGAAGTGTGCGTCCGCTCAGCCAGAGGGACAGGCAGACAAAGGCCCATCTTCTCCGGGAGCAAGGGTGAGGTGGATGGGGAGGAACAAAGATCCTTTGTTGAGAGTACTGAAGAATTCTGATAAAGTGATCTGGAGAAGGCCCGGTTCTTGTATAGGTGGCCTTTTCAGCGTGTGTGTGTGTGTGTGTGTGTGTGTGTGTGTGTGTTGTAGGCACTGCTCTTTATTGTCATTGTTTATTTAAAGGTGTCCCATGTCCTTCCAAGTTCAGGGTCAGAATTCCAGCTGTTTCTCCCACCGTAGCTCTTTAAGTGTCACCCAGGTAGACAGGCCAGTGTTATTTTTATGAACTGCGGCTTCAGAGACAGGAAACGCTAGATGTGGATGTTTTCCTCAGGGCGTGGGGGGGCGGGGGTGGAGAGCAGGTAAAACCCACTTTTAAAATGGAGGTACGGTCTCCGGTGGGGGGCTGAGTGTGGATGTCTTCCCGGCTGTGGGCGTGGGGATCTGCGGGTGGACGGCTGGCACGGTGGCTGGCGGCTGGGAACTTTGTCGCAGGTTAGACACCCGAACCCAGTGGAGTATCGTAAAGGTGGTCAGCGGCACAGACACAGTGTGGCCAGCTTCCTGGACTGGGCTTTATTTTCTCTGTTACCTACCGCATAGCCCGGAGCTACAGGGTAGACACGGACCTCTTCTTTAGGGTACCAGGCTGTCCAGAGGCCTTCCTGAGGACAAGTGCTTGTTTTTATTTCCCCCGGTGTCTGCAAGACCTGGAGGACATCCAGAATCTTGTGGACCCTGTTGAGCCGTCACCCCTTGTCCGTTGAGGGACAGACCCATGAATTAAGTACCCTTAACCACCAGGAGAGGTAATGGGCACCCGCTTGTTCATGCCAGAACACAGAGCTCAAGATAAAGGCCAGCCCCCCCTCCCGCCTGGGGTCAGAGTGACCCAGGCTACAGAGATGATTCCTGTGTGCTCCAGGCAACGTGGCACTACAGCAGAGAGACTGACACGATAAATAGCTACTCTTTTTATTTTCTTGTCTGTCATGGGGTTTGAACTTGGCCTGGCGCTGTTCCTCAGCTCTTCAGCTCAAGGCGAGCACTCTACCACTTGGGCCACGGCACCACTTTCAGTTTTCTGAGTGGTTTTATTGGAGATAAGAGTCTCATGGACTTTCCTGCCTGGGCTGGCTTTGAACCGTGATCTTCAGATCTCAGCCTCCTGAGTAGCTAGGATGGCAGGCGTGAGCCATTGGTGCCCGGCTTAAATGGCTACTCCTACAGAAAAAGAGTGTGTGTGTGTGTGTGTGTGTGTGATCTTATTTTGTCCAGGATGTCTGGGATTCTTGGGCTCAAATGATCCTCCCATTTCAGCCCCCCGATTAGCCGGGACTCCAGGAGGGCACCCCTTGCCCGGCAGCCACTCTTTGGAAAGCAAGCATTTCTGTCTCCCACAGCAGCTGTTTGAATCGGGGCCATCGGCTTCTGGAGGATCGTGTTTTGGGCTTTTTTTTGTTTTGTTTCGCCAGTGTTGGTTTGTTGCTGTGTGTTCGCTGTGCTGGAAAAGATTGCATCTTAATATGTTACTGATGTGCTGGGAGTAAATCATGGGCTGGTTAGCTGAGAGGCGCCCGGATTTTCCCGTGGTTTCACGGTCTCCTCGCCTTTGGTCCTGGGATCCTGCGTGGTAGGAATTGTCTGGGAATCCCATCTGATTAGCTCAGAGGTTTCTTCCCGAGAGCTTGCCGGAACCGTGTCTGCCAATCGGGATGGGAGCTAGCTGCCTCGGTAGGTGAGCCTGAGCCGAGGGAGGAACTTTCCTCCCAGCCTTCTCCAGGCTCACGTCTCCACGTGGGCGAACATCTGTGTTGCGCAGACCCCGTTGACTGTCTTATGATCTAAATTGGGCAGAAACTAGATTCGGGAGGGGGGTGGGGAGAAGAAGAGAAAAAGGATTTTTCAACCATGTTCATTTATGAGCTCCTTCATGTGGTGGAGGACGTTTGAGGAGAAAAGGGAAGGTTTACACTGTCTGCTGATGCAAACCAGCAATTTGCGGGGTGGAGAGGGGACTGCTGGGGGGGGCGGGGAGAGGGCAGTTTGTCCTCGCTGCACGCCCTGCGCCGCTCCCACGCCCGTCCTGTTCACATCCTCCTGAGGCTCCCTCTCCTCATCCCGTCTGGCCCCCAGGGAAACCTCCGCAGTCCTGGGTTTGGTTTGATCCTCTTGGATCGCAGGGCCTCCTCCTCGCCAGGCAGATCCGTCACCAACCACAAGATAAGGGTCTCACGGTACCCTGGGGTGGGCCCAAACTGGAATCTCCCTGTTGGTGCTCCCCTGAGCAGCTGGGGTGACAAGTGTGTGACCCTGTGTCCAGCCATTTCTCAAGATGGAGTCTTACTGCCTCCTTCCTTCCCTCCCACTACCTGCCGCCCTCCCACCTCAGCTGGCCTCCAACGGAGATCCTCAAATCTCTGCCTCTGGAGTATCCAGAAATTCAGGCTCAAGCCATTCAAGTCACTGTGCGCCATTCCCTTTCTCTCTCTTTCTCTCTCTTTTTTTTTTGGGTTGGTCATGGGACCTGAACTCTGGGCCTGGGCGCTGTCCCTCAGCTCTTCAGCTCAAGGCTAGCACTCTACCACATGAGCCACAGCGTCACTTCAGGCTTTTTCTGTTTATATGGTGCTGAGGAATCGAACCCAGGGCCTCCTGCATGCAAGGCGAGCGCTCTACCACTGAGCCACCTTCCCAGCCCCCCTTTCTCTCCTCTTAATGCACAAGGTCCGTACTCACCAGGGGTGCGTCGTGGGAGGGTATTTCTGCTTATCAGATCCTAAGCTGTGTGAAACGGAGGACTGGGTTTTATTCAGTTCTGTGCCCCTCAGGTCTCCCTTGTTCTCTGTCCACTAAGAAACCTTGGTGTGTCTGTGTGGAGCTTAAGGCCCACTCTTAGGGATTCCGGGGCCCCACCTACACCGGGCCCTGGCAGCTCCAACAGTCCACCGGCTGCCTGCCTGCCTCCTCCGGAGAAGTCGTTCCTCCGGATGGTCTTTAGCCTGACATCCTCTTCTCCCATGGGCCGTGTGTTGGAGGCCTGGGCTATCCTGTGACCAGTGGCTCAGCAGCCACAAGTGTGTGCTGGAGCAGCCACAGGGCGGGGAGGAGAGGCTGGGAGTCCTACCCCGCTGGATTTCCCCGCACAGAAGAACTTTGATCTGTGCAGGCGGGGGCTGGCACCCGCAGCAGCTGTGGTGCCCACGGCCCTGCGGCTGTGCCCTGGGAGCCAGCCAGCCTGCC